GGATGATATTAATTTAATAAATTATGCTCAAAGAAGGAAATGGTACTTTCCAAGTCGAAAAGATTTCAACCGTCGCGTCGGCCAGATTCGAAAGTGGCATCAAAACTGTTTGGGATTACAGAATATCGGGTCGCTTTACCACCGTCGGAATCAAACGATCTATTTCGAGAATTTGCATAAAGTAGTCCACCGTTACCGTCACGTCGCGGAGCTCGCGAAGTCGTAAGCGGATTCAATTTCCCTGACATACAAACTAATTACTGTTTCGCCCGTAGAAAGAAAAGTGTAGAAGGGAACTATAAGAGGTCGGCTTCGCGGCGTAAAGACCTGGTATCGAATGTAAAGTTATGAAACGAGTTCGGAGATCGACTGAATTACGAAGTAACGAAACTTTCAATTGGCTAAGAGGCTTACACCCAGGGGGCTCTTATTGTACTTTTGCGCGATGCCTCCTTGTTCGACTGTGTCTACTTACATTGTCGATATAAATTATTTATTCGGAACTCACGACGAAAAATACATATTTTTAAACCCTTGCCGTACAATGACGAGTGAGTCTCGTGATGAAGATTTCTAGGTTAATTTAACACTAGGTTTATGGACGTTTATTATATGGTTTATTCTATCGTTCGTAGAAAAATTGACGTTCGTCGGTTTAGATCAGTGGTTTTTGACCCTTGTAGTGATTGGCACTTCCTTGAATCTGAAAGTAAATTGTCACAGCCTCTTGAAAAATGTGTTCCTATTTCTTTAATTAGAAAATTACATCTATTACAAGATAATTTATTTATTGAAATGTAAACACATTAATCAAACACATTAATTGACTTGTACTGTTTTGGAAATCATGGCTTCAATTGGTAATTGTGTTTTAGTGACACATTCTGAAAATAATTCTACAATTCTCAAAGCGAAGTTCCAGCTGGCGTTTTTCATTTTCACATAACATGAATCTACGAAAATAAGTTAATATATAAAACTACATATAGAGAGAATATAAATAATGTTAAAAACTGTCTTATTATTCCACCTATTTATTTTGATTAATTTTTTGTGACAAAAATGGTAGAATCTAATAGAAACTTACAAATCTCTGCTTCGATAACTGACCTCGGTAAATCTAGAACCAGGAAATGTTTAGTACAATTGATTCATGGTAAAGCAGGATTGGGTCAGATATTGATTCGTTAACCAATTATTTCCAGTAGAACCTGAGGAAATCTTTCCGGAACATTTACCAGCAACGTGGTTATTTCGCTTGAAATGTAGAATCATTTAATGGAAAAGGGATGAAATGAAGATTTTGTAATGTCTGTACTATTATCCCGTTTCCCCTTTGAAATTATTAAATACTAAAAATTCTATTCTTGGTACACAATATGGTTACTCGATATTACGCATTATATTAATTATACAAAGCACATCATTGTATATTTTATTTTTAAATGATTTTCATCCGTAATATACAAGATTAGACTATTATTATATATTTGTAACATAAAAATCTTCAAAAAGTTAGAAACAAGAAGTTTTAATATAAATTAATTCACTTCACAAAATTGAATTTTCCTGCGACGGTTATTTATTCAATTATTATTGCTTCATTAAATTTGACAATAGCAAAGTCTTCAACTTAGAATTTTTACACACAAATCAATTAGAAAATCTTGTTTCCTACTATCTGCACAATAGTGTATAGTAATTGATACAAAATGTTGATAAATGTGAATTCAATTAATATTTATTTCTAGTCTTCCTATATATTTAATATTTACTTCTTTTCGTTCATATTCAATCACAGCTCATTTCTCCCTTATTTCCCAAGTACCGAAAAGATACAAACAATTTTCCTAAGAATCATTGAATAAACTCATTCCAGTAATAGACAAACTAATAAATCAACCAAACTTTCGAAAACTTCACTCTCACAGTTCGTTTAACACTAGAAGAATGACTAGTTCCGGTCTCCTTATTCCGCAATTATTGGTATCTTAAAGCATTGAATATTCATAATGATTTCGAAAATAAATAGTTTCACTTGAATACTATAATGAATAACCGAAAAAACTGGAAATAATCTATTGTTACAATTTTCATACGGATTACATACATTGATCGACAATTTTTTATCAACTCTTTCAAGACAAAACTGTCTTAAACTTCTAAAATTAGTTTCTAACTAAATAAAATCACGAATTCCTTATTTACGCCACTTTGTTTTCAATTCTTTATACCTTTTGAACCATTTGTATTTCGATGCAATAAAAAACAAACATTTTCGGTGATAAGAGCCAATTCTCCACTTTTCCATATGATGCAAGTGTATTAACTGTTTAAACCGAAGTCGTATAATTTGAATGCCGTGTAAATCGAGGACCAAGTGTACTCGGTTGGTTCCTGCGTTAATAAAGTATCGGCCGTGGCGCAAAGGCAACCGTCGCGTTGCGTCGCGTCGGCGAACCGACGGAAGCAACCGTGGCCGAACGTTTTAACTTTTCATCACGGTCGAACAATGGCGGCGAGCGAGCTCCGCCGTTCGCGAACCTCGTAACAAAAGTCTTCGAAATATCTCAACGTAGCCTTTGGCGAGAATCTGTATTTACAGAAAAGATTCCACCGGTGGCACGGCTGGAGTTTACCCTGCACGTGATGCAACTTCCGTTTCCCCCGAACCTACTTTGTCTTCCACGGCAGCGCCGAGACAACCTTTGCTACCGACGGGTCCCGGAATCCACGGAATTTTCCGAGTTAGCGCGGAGCCAGCCCCCGTGATCCGAAAATCCAGATAGACATTTGACCCAAGCCGCTACTATGGAAAATTCAGTGTAATTTCGTTGCCCGTTATCACTGGCCGCCTCGAACACGAGCGAAACTGCCGAAGCTTCTGGCCGACGCGCGGTGGTTTGGATAGAAGTTGGTGACACTTCACCAGGGGTTGAAAAGCTTCCAAAAATAAATGTGTTAGGGCCTTCGCACACGAACGACACGTGTACGAACAACTGTTCTTTGTTTGAAAAACAAATAACTTGTTACATAATTAACATATACAAATCAATTTTTCTTCAGGTTAATACTGAAATATTGTATATTAATGTAAAGTTACGCTAAATGTTTGATGAATAATGTTTGACTTTTAGGAAATTGATTAAAGTTGATATTTCTTGGGAACATTGTTTTTCCTTATGATAATTTTACGTAAACCGGAAGAACATTAGTCTCACAACAGTATTCGTACCTATACAAATTACACTAAAAATACAATGAATGTATTAATAATCAATATTTGATTGGGCCTCCTTTGCATTTTATAATATTTGGAGACGATCTAAATCATCTGGCTTATGAGACAAATTTTGTTCATGTTTACGTAAAATTACATTTTTGTTATATTGACATGTTGTTTTGCAATAAAGTATATACAAGTTTGAAAATTTCGTTATTACAACATATATACCTGTTGATAAGAACTTTGACACTTGCATTGTAAACAAATATCAGTAGTTTAAATTCGGCAGTGCAGAAATACTCTTGTGATTAATTTTTCTTACTGAAACTAAAAAAAAGACAAAAATTAAAGAACTGATTAACCGAACAATATAAGAACCGATATACAGTTAACGCTAAAACTAGCAGACAGATCAAAAGGGCCCATTCCTGATTTCTTCTTTTTACGATTATTAGAAAGATAACAGAAGATTCTCTGAGAAATTACTGAAGACATTGATTCAGCAACGCGCAAACTCAATTGTAAATTAATAGGAGCCTCAATAGATGCACTCTCGAAGTTTCCGTAGGAAAATTGCGAAAGTCAATTTGACTGCTCGGTAGGTTTAGTGTTGTAATGGCCGGAAGGAAATGCAGAATTTTTAATGAAATTTGAAAACTGGTCATTTGGCCGGTACGTTTAGTGTTAAAAGTGAGAGGAGAGGAGGTTGAAAGGGGGAAGAAGTTACCGTGCGAACAAGATCGGAACGCTCGTAAAATTGTAGCATGAGAACGGAGCTTCAACAACCAGATTACGATTGCAGGACCCAAGAATTTTCCATTTATCGCCTTTCTTGCATGAACGCATACAAGAATTCGATACGGGAATATGGGTGAATTGGGTGTGCTCCACTCTCTCTCTCCGTTCTATCACGGCCTCTGTCTGTCACGCGGCGAAGTGGTGGACGGCCCCAGAGGGTGGAATCTTCTTCTGAAGGGAGCTTGAATATGTAATCGACAGTACTGCTTATTCATGCATGTATATCGACAGAAAATCGTCGGCGCTAGAATGCGCCTCTCTAAGAATTCATTACTGATTTCTACTCATTTTTCCTAGTGACTTTCTTCGCAGGGTGTGCGGTAATGCTTTTCCTTGAAAATTGAGTAACTGTGAATATTTACGTTGGAACATGTTTTCTTAGAAATTTGTTATTGATTTTTATTTAGTTTTTCCGTTTTATTTGTTGAGACTGCTGATGTTTCTTTTTGAAGATTGAACAACTGTGGATATTAACGATGAAATATGTTTTCTCGGAAATTTATGATTAATTTTTACTTACTTTTCCTATTTTATTTGTTGAAAATAGTCATGTTTCTTTTGATGGAATAACTAAACATCGAATGTGCAATGTTTTCTTAAAAATTGAATAATAATTTTGATTCGTTTTTCCTAATTTATTATTTAAAAGTAGTGATGCTTTGTTTAAAAAATTACTTAACGATGAACATCAATGTTGGAATATATTTTATTAAAAATTCGTTATTGATTTTATTTTTTGAAAGTGGTAACGTTAATTTTAAAATATTAACTTGAGCATTAACAGAACATCGTCGGTTCCAAACTTCTCTACTTTCTTCTTTCTGAAGAAATTCTGAATAAATTGAAGTTCTAAGGAAGCATTATATCAATATAATATATTAAAAATTGTTTATATCGAAACAAAATAATGTTTCTATAATGTTTTAAAAACTACCAATGATTACGGTTACTACATTTAAAAAAATTCTCGTTTCAGGTCAAACAACTTCGAAAACACTGCCCGAGTTTTTAGCTCCTTTGGAAAATCACACAGTGATCCAGGGTCGCGACGTATCTTTCACGTGCATTGTTAATCATCTATTACCATACATGGTAAATATGACGAATATTTATTCATATCTGTTTCGTTAATAAGGATATCCAAATTTCCATGTTATTATCCTTGAAAAATGAAATTTCTAATTCAAGAAAATCCTTACAAAAAATAGAATTTCATTTTGTCCTTTGACTTCAATTAAATTAATCAATTTCATTTCTATCTTTGTACAGTTTGTTTCGTCATTACGCAAGATAAAATTTCACTTTGCTTTTCAATTCGTTCAGTTAATTAATACCATTTTCATTTTCGTGAACTTTATTTTTCCAGGTGGCCTGGATAAAGTCCGACTCGCGAGCGATCTTGGCAATTCACACGCATCTGGTGACACACAACCCGCGACTCTCAGTCACTCACAACGGACACAACACGTGGAAGTTACACGTGATGAACGTTCAGAAGAATGACTCAGGTGTTTATATGTGCCAAGTGAACACAGTCCCTATGCGAAGTCAGGTGAGCAGAAATTCGTTTCTTTTCTATCTGCACCAGTTACATCACGTAAACAAGATATCTATACTTCTAAGTGGATAGCATGGTGAAAAATATGCTTTGAACAGTACAGTTAATTTAATAATTAAATTGAATATATTTTTTTTCGATGCTTTATATTACATTTTGAAATTGAATTGTTTACTTTGTATTTTTTTCTAAATCCTTATCGTCATTATAATTTTCTATGATTCTAACTAATAATTGTCTTAAAAATTCTGTTTATTATTATAGAATTATTATTGTGAATAATAATTAAAATAATAAAATATCTGATCATAAAGAATAAAATATTGTGAATAATAGTGACAATAATAACTATAACAAAATATTAGTTAAAATATCATTTGAAGTACAATAACAAATAAGAATGAAAATACGATTCCAACTGTAACAAGGAATAACAATTAAAAAATGTCATTTTAACTACAATAAAAAATAACAATTTAAATATCGTTTCATCTATAACAACAAATAACAATTAACAAGTATTTATCCCTCAATAACAATTTTATCCTGAGAAATACAATTACGCCACAATACGTACTACCTACCTTTGACAAGTTCACGCCCATTTCACACCGATGAGGATCGGACAAGGTTTGTCCGAGTAGTGCTGGCCGTCGAAGAAAAAGTTTCCGAAGCGGTATCGGACGAGAACTCGCCCAAGATAAATAGCCGCGGCAGCGGATGTTTCGGATCAAAGTAAATGGAAAGTTCCTCGCGAACAACTTCGTGATCCGCGTCACGTGCCCCTAGAGTGTAAGACCCGTTCTCGGATGATAATACTTACGGAATTGCATCCCGACGCGATGGTTAAATTCACGACAATTCCGGTTACCGGATTTCCTTAAACCAATGACAGACAACTCTATTCATTTTACTTTGCGAGACGCTTTTTAGCAAAAACTCTAAACCGTTGCTTCTGGGCACCTGGGCCCCGGGGAACGCTACTCTCTGCGCGCACCGACAACTTTCTCTACGATCGAGGTCTTCCGTTCTGAAATGGTGTTGAAAAACATTTCACTGGTCCGAGAAATCTATTCGAAATATATTGCGTTTAAATGTATTAAAATAACGAAATACATATTAAATATTAAAGTAATACAAAATATATTAATATATTATATTTATTATTGAACACGACAAATAAAATATTTTGCATTATGTGATTTACCGAATATTATTATATTTACTTTCACTCCTATAATAATATAGTACAATGTGGATTACTACTCTACGATGGAAATAGGATTGAGAAACACTGTTCTATAATATATCTTCCATTTTCTTCCGTGTCGTTTCCATTGGACTTTTATGCAAATATAAAATTTGTGCAGAAATTGGATTCAGGTGAAAATTTAGCGTTTCGATAAAATGCATTCTCACAGGTAGATTAAAATGAAAATTTCGTTAAACTGTATTATCCTTTCATACTTTAATTCCAAAGTGTTTTTATCTTAGATCTTTAAATTACGCAGTGAACATAAGAAAATCTTGATAGTTTGTTACAATCTTTTAAAATCTACAATTCAATCATCACTGAATAGACGTTTCTTACAAACTCCTTATAATAGAAATAATGGAAATCATATTTATTACTGAGCTTTTTAAAAAATCAAGTTTAAAATAATGACTGCAGATTTTCAACTTTAAAAATGTCTTATCCTTTGACTGCAGTAATTTTTTGCGCGTGATTGCTGCACGATTTTTCTTTATCGTATCTTTTATCACGTAGAAATACGGGTTTCAATCGGATGTTTAAGATGATTGAATCATTCTAATCCGACCATTTTGTCCCGTCTTGAAAACGACGTACGGATCGTAACATGTTAACCGGATTCTCGAAACTTTAGTCCGTTAATTCTATACAAGCTAAGCGTGCATGTGCTTAGGTCCGCAAGCAGGATACCGTCCTTAATCCTAGTGTATTTGTGCAAGGTATTACATGACCGCGACCTTGCAATCCGAGAACCTTCAACATATATACTGTACTAATCCAAAGGAAAATAAGTTTTCATACGGTATCGTAATTCATAGCTTGTAACTTCGTGCATGTCAATATACGGATTGTCGTATATTCTCTAAGAACATAAAATTTGAGTTAAAAAATTCGGAATTCTTTGTTTGAAATTAGTCGAAAGAATTTTATTTCTGTTTGTTTTGTCATTGTTAAGACGGAAAGCTCGTTTGAATAATTACTTTGGGATTGTCGTACTGTTGATTGATAAGATTATGTGTAATCATTTAAGTATTAAATTATGTAATTATCGGATTATCAAATTATTCGATTTCCTAATTACTTCACTATGCAATCATTCAATTATTTAACTATTCAATCATTTCATTATTGAACTACTTCACTAGTTAATCACTTAACGATTTGACTAAACACCTATTTAATCATTTAATTACTCATCTCATTTCGTATCCAAATATTAAACTGTTTTTAAATGTAAACAAATTTCAAACTCCCCACCCCATCTTTTCTAATCCGCAGATCATTAAAAATGTCCAACTGATCAAGAAACACCGTAATTTTGAAAATAGTGCTCTCCTAACAATATTTATAATTCAGCTGCATACACTGCAACGTCTATTTATTTCGCGGGTAAAAAACTGACACCGAAAAAAAGAACCGTCTACTTACCGTTCTCGTTCCACATGGAATTATAATCACCGTGAGATATACGTTGTTCGCGCCCGTGTTCGGACGCACACCGATTATTAAAATCAGGCGTCTGTATTATACACTCCACACGCACTTACACCAGCGAGGATAATTTTCCGCTCTAGAACGATACACTCGCAACCCTTTGCACTTTCCGGCCAGTCATCTCGCGTAATGCAGTTTCTACGCAGTTACTCTACACAATTAGTTGGGACGAAAGAGTATCTAAGTAACGGTCGGTCGGGTCCTTGGAAAAGGGAAATGACTTATAAGGAAAGGTATCGACCCTTGCCCTTACTCAGTTTTTAATTTTATTTGCAACAATTTCGTAACTGAGTCGCGAGGGAGTTGGACATTATTAATGGGATTCTTGAGGAGAATAATAATTATAAAATAAATGTGTGTTTCAAATGATATCTGAATAAATAATTTCCTATGTATTCAGGAAAATTATTATTTTAAGAAGTTATGTGAGATGATTTTATAAATGGATAATTCATTATATTATCAATTATTGTATTTTTATGTAGATGGTATGGTATCATAATATGAAAGTTAATAGTAATAATGTGGTATAACGGTATAATATATTTGTATTAAGTTTTATTACAATTATCAATGGTGGCATGTTTTAAGATTAATTATATTATTATATTAAATATCATTATTAATAAATTTAATTGCAACAATCAATCCTAAAAAGTTATAAAATGAATTATATTGTATTCTGTATCATTACCACTAAGTTTTATCATGACACTCAATGGTAACAACTTTGAAAGTTAATTATATAATATTCTATATGTTTAGTATTCAGTTTCTTTACAAACAATCGATCCTAACAAATTCTATTCATTTGTATTTTTCAGACAGGATACATGGATGTGTTGATACCGCCAGATATCATGGACGACGAGTCAGCTAACAGCATGATAACACGCGAGGGTGGTAATATAAGATTAAGATGCGTCGCTACTGGCTCACCGGAACCAACAGTCTCTTGGAAACGGGAAAGTGGCGCAAACATCACTCTCAGGGAAGATGGACAGAAGCAATGTAAGATTTCTCAACGTTTCAGCATAATAAATCATAATTATTTAGAATAGTCGACGCGTGACATAAATAAAATGATTAATTAATATTGTTATTCGATTATGCAATTTTTCAATTAAACGCGCATCGATTTCTGACAATTTTAGAACAATAAAATCTTCGATCAAACAAAACAACAATTACATTTCAAATTAAACATTCGTTAACATAAGTAACGTTAGTTTTAATATTTTCAAATGAAAAATCTAAATAAAATTGCACAAATGATAAGAATTGATTTTTATAAAAATAATTAAATGATAAACTGGAGATTTCATTCTTCGATTGTTACACTAAAGATTCACACTCATTATGCATGTAGAATGCACACCGGTGACACGCATCCATTTTACTTGCAAGATGACCCGTGACAGATGCACAGAACTATAGTAGACAATACACAGGGTGGCCTATTTTAATTTATCAATACAAACGTGGAATCTACTGGTATAAATGGGCACTATTGAAAATAAAATAGCTCTTGATTCAATAGTTTCTTGAGATAAATAATTGAAACTTGTTTATAGCGAATCAGTTATCGATTAAAGTATTAATAATTATATGATTTTATTGAATATTGACTTCCGTATTTCTTTCGTGTGTCCATATATTGATAAATTAACTATATTAAATTACTTCCATCAGGAAATCAAAAAAATTCTGTTCGAAATATTTTTTTCGAATAACAAACAACTTTGGAAATAATTGCATTTACAGTATAGAATAGTGCACCTTGTACATAATCCATGTGTCCAAATTTGTATATCATATTGTCACGAAATGCAATTGCACCCAGAATATTGTCGAAATATCTTTTTAAATGACGAGCAATTCTGAAAATAAGTGAAATTATAGATTAAATTGCATTCAGATGAAAACAGTGCACCCTGTACATACCTCGCGCGCCCGAATTTACGTATCATATTGTCACCGAGTGCAATTGCATTCTGAATGCAGCACGGCGTGCGCTGAAGATCCGTTCCGCCCGATAAAAGAGTACCAAAATTATCTTTGCTCAAACTTCGCGGGATGTAAGGGTGAAATTAGAAAGTTAATCGTCCCTTTAACCCGTTACAAGATAAAATCCAGTATTACGCGATATCGTTATCGTGTCATTATCATCTACGTTGGTTTCGCAAGGAACCGAATCGAGAACAGATCGCATAATCTGCCAATTCATTGTTCACTGCTCGCCTCGATAACGCTTTACAACAGTCATTTGGATTTTTATCGGTAAATAGAGGTTTCTTGGATATTTTCATGGGCCAAATACAAGTCTAAACACGGTCGTGCCTTGATTTTTATCAGCAAATAAAGGTTTCTTGTAGATTTTTATGCTGTAAACTACAAAGTTTCTCAGTTCCTTAACATTCGAGAAATCCTACACTTTGACAGTAACAATCGAATCTTTGTTTCATTTTTCAAATCATTGAATGCACAAATCAAGAATATATTAAATTTAATTCTTCTTTTCTTGTCATGTTTATAAAAACAACTCTCCAATCTCGAACTATAACAAAAAGAAGCATTGACTAGTAATTCTCATAATTGGACCACGGATTTCTGTATACTTACAGAAAATTCGAAAATGCATAATTGCATGCAATACACACGATACGAAAAAAATATATAAAATAACCAAAGTATAATACTTCTTAATAATATTCATTAAGAAAAACTATTTTCCATCATAACTCTATTTTTCAAATAATATTCTAACAACCTTGAACTTCTATAAAGATTCACATATTTATAATAATTTGGTTACATTATCAGCAGTGATCATAATAATCGTCAAATCCGATAGTTTTACTCCGAATCTCTTTTCCTAAGGAATAATTTTATAAATCTTACGAAATGTAGAAATTGTATCATTCGAACCAGAGAAAAAGTCTGGAAGAAAGAGAAGTATTATCTGAAAGTTTGATAAAAGGTTAAGGATCGAGTTAAGAAAAGGTTCGCCGGGTTTAACGGTGTGAATAAAGATGTCTGTCGAGACAATTCCTCCGGAAAGCTGGTAAACCTTTCGCGTGGCCAGCTATGTTCCTTCCGTGTCATTTAACGGATTAAGTTGAGTTAATTAAAATCATAAGCCATAAAATACGAGTTCGACTCGTGGACGCGGATCAGGGGATCGACAATATTGTTCGATAGCTTCGTAAACCTTTTGAGCACTGGGACATACATTATGCGGTTTGATACACAAATCTGAGTTTTATCTTTGTCCGAATGAATCAGTGTTATTATCTCTGCCAAGATCATTTGGAAATGTTATGAACGTTCGTTAAAGTTTATTAATTTCTAATAAGGTAATTTATGTGAATCTACGTATATTTAATAATGATATGAAAACAAGTTAATAATAATAATATAATAATATAAGGAAACGTAATAATGATATAATAATAATGTGACTATAATATAATAACAATATTATAACAATATTAATAAAAATGTAACAATTATATAATAATTATGCAATTATAATATAATAATAATAATCAATCTATAATCAATAAATTGGTTGATTTTTCTCAGTACATTATCAGTGTCATCCAGAAACCACTCGTTTTAAAAATATGACGATCAGAACATTCCTAATTTTACATTCTGCTTCTACGTTCGAAAGACAATAAAAGAATTTTGTTGGTGGGAAAAATGTATCCCGAGCACAAAGGGTTAAACAAGCCGCGGCCACTTCCTCGCCGCGTTCACTGGAAAAAAAATACGACTGTGCAAGATATCGGGGGCCCAGCGTCAATGCGGAATAATCGATTGTCTCGCGGCTCATTGTCGTTAATTAATTACCTTGTGGACAGCAATTTACATTTCAATGTGTGCGCGGAACATTTTACGGTCACATTTATCGCCGGATACGTGTTCTGGATGTCTGTACAGGGCAGTTCAAAGGTTGCTGAACGAAATTTACAATTACTGTAATTTTATTTTACATTAGAACTTAAATTAAAAAGGAAACCTGAAACATAACATTTGGAACTGTTTGATCGTTTTAGAAATAAAATTAAAAGCTTTTTTTATTAATCATCACATAAGCTTAAATAAATGTAAACACAAAGATCATTTTATTAAATATTAAATTTTAGTCGTTTTTTTTTATTTTTAATTATGCTAATATAAAAACTTATATAATAAGCTTCTAATGTTATTTCTAAAACAACCAGACAATTCAAAAATGCACATTTTGAGCTTCCTTTTTGATAATTCTTAAAAAGGTAGAAATGCTTTTCTGAGGAATTATTAAATAAATCAGTTTACTATTACACTCTCTTCAGCACACTCATTTTAAAGCTTGGCATTTATTCGAGCTTCAAAGGTGAACGTTTATTCGAATTGGGACAATATTCGTTAATGTCGGAAGTGCTATCAATTAATATAACAATTTATAACATTATAATCGCCCGGTTTTAATTAGAAATGCAATTATGGATATTTTCTTCCGCGATTTTTACGTCGAAATTATGAGACATTACTTTTGGATCGTGCTGCACAGTCGGAACGTGTCCTATATCAAGATCACTAGTGAATTATACATTGGATTTTCTCTGTCAAACTGGAAACGTGATTTATGTTACACGAATGCATTTCTCCGTTCCTCTTTTAATTTGTTCGTTGTAGCTTTTAAAAATAAATAAACCGATCATAACAAGTGGAAAAGAAAATAATAATAAATAAAAAATATGAAAACCCTTACATTTTGGACACACCGTAGATTTTTTAATACTGTCCGCTATCATTGGAATTTTACAAATTTGTAATTTTGCAAATTTCTAATAAACCAGTGAAAATACGCACTCTAAACATTAAGTATGGAGTTAATAGCATTTCTTTTAACCCTCAACTGCCATGGTGAAATAAATATACACTACAACTGTTGTTGGTCCGTGAGACCATAACTTACGATGCAACAAAAGCATTGTTTCACGAAAGCAAATAATATATAATTATAATATTTATAAAATTTATAATATTCACAATATAATATATTATAATTGAATTATTGTATAATTAATATAGGAAATATAATATCGATTCTATAATAATTATTCTTCGGTTTTGCATTTCGATTCTATATTTCAGTTCTATATTTGATTCAAAAACCGAAAAATAGTTATAGAACCCGATGTTATATAGAAACCTATATCGTGGCTATTCAACCCCTGGTGCTAAACAATCCTTTCCTTCGTTTCTTTGTCATATTTCGCGCGCACTGTGACAAACTGTATTAACGTGGCCGGATTATATATTTCGACGCGTGCAGATTACGAGATACGCGTTCTCCGGTAACATTAATCTACGTTTAATATACGTGCCTGTCCATTAAAGGCATCCGTTATTCAGAGACGGGAAGACAAGACCTCGGATAAATTGCAATTTCCATTGGTTAAAATATTGACTCCTCTTTAGTAATTCACTCGGCTAACCGTCGCATAAAATAAACATTAGCTGATACTCTGAACTCCCTCGTACCGATTGTAACCCTGGTATTTAGCGATTCAACATTGGTACTGCCGGCCTGCTATCCTGATACACGTTCCCTCTGGCGCGCATCGTCAGGCTTAATCTTTTCGAATTCCTTCCACGTTAATTCACTTCGCAGTACTACCTGTCCAAACTGAACGTTCAATTTCGTTTTAACAATTATATATTTGTAGATAAAAATGTTTCTTTATCAATTTTCGTGGGGATTATTTTGTAGTATATGTATTTCAAATTATCAAGTGTTTTTCGTATTATTGTAATATTACTGTTATAAAGTATATAATATATATTACTATTATATTACTATCACATTACTATCATATATTTTACAATGGTAATTATAATAATACGAAAAGTGCTAAATAATTTAAAATATCGAACAAAACAATATTTTCCAAATAAATTTCAAACAAATTTCGATCATTTAAAAATTTGATATTATACATTGTTTATAACTTCACGACCTCTAAATAACAGTAACCTTGAAATGACATTAAGAATAACCTTGACAAGGTTTCTTCTGTCATTCATCAGAAACAATTTTCGAAGTTGTAAATCTCCCAAGTTTCGAATATAATTTCGATGTGGAGCCGAAGCGAGACATCTTGTATTCCATTTCAACGAGAGGCATTCGAGTTTAATTTCTCATTCGACTTAAGCTCGCCGATTAATTTCACTTAAGCCGCCGTTCCTAAACGCATCGCGTACCGTTGAATCTGTTACAGCACGGGAAGAGATTATTTAAAAATAATGATTTCCACAATATAATTTTATTTAATATTTATTTATTTAACCCAAGATGCAGGAGCCAGCCTTCCCTAAACAAATGGAAAAGAAGAACAGCTATTACATATCGATTGCTACTGTAGAATTGTGAAAAGAGAAAAGTTAAAAGAAGAAATATTAATAGTCAGCTCTTGGTGCATATGCATTTAAGTACATTAAGGGTAAACTTTAGAAATTTTTTTGTTAATTTATTCACTATTAAGTGAAAACTTCTGATTTTTTTCTGAGTGTGTAACTATTACCTTCTGGTTTATATTTATGTTTTTTCTAAGAAAAAATGTTACAAAATGACGCAGTTATTCGCTAGCTTCGAAATCCTTTTTCGTAAAATATCAATTGTTGGCCAACTCGATTGCAAACAACTGAAATATCCAAGGACAAAAATTTTGGTGAATTTATAAATAGAAATGTATTATCTAAAATGTAGCGCACGTATTTTTCGATATCTCAATTATTTAATTTTTTATAAACATTTGAAGTTAATTTTTTGGGGCAATTCAGGTTTTTGTGATTTGTTTATAAATCCACAAAAACTTTTATTTTCGCATACTTCAATTGTTTGCAATCTAGTCCGCCAACAATGGATATTTTACGAAAAGGGTTTCCGAAGCTAGCAAATAACTGCGCCATTTTGTAACATTTTGACTTAGATTAAATATAAACTAGAAAGTAATAATTACACACTCATAAAAAATCAGAAGTTTTCACTTAATAGTTATTAACAAAAAAAATTCCTAAAGTTTACCTATATTTAGGACGTCTCTAGGCGGTGTTCCTCTTTAAATAAATTTATTTTAATTCTTTCCACTTGTACGTCATGCTGGAGATTACAAGACAAATTTCTTATGGAACGTCGGAAATTGTTTGAAAAAGTATCACATGTGAAAAGATGATAAAAATTAAATCTGATAATAATAATAATAAGTAAAATAATAAATAAAACGTTGAATTCTACCTCTGTAAATCACTTTCATTCATTTCCCTACAAATAAATACAAGCTTACACCCAACAACATCGAAAATAAATCGAGTGCAAAGGGCTAACAGATTCGTGACCGCATTCAATTTCCCAGAGTCTATAGCTGAATACCGCAAGGATTTATTATGCAAATGTGTATGAATATAAAAAGTATATGAAAGACTATGTTATCAATATTTAGCTACAGATTTTGATATGTCGTACATTTAAGTGACCAACATTCTCATAAAAAATGTAAAAAGACGTAGGTCTATGTTACATTGTTCTACAAAAATTAGAGATGACGTAGGACTACGTTATCGGTGTTCAATTAAAGAATTTAGTCAAGTTACTTAAAAATACCAGTCTCGAATGTGTTAACAGTCAGAGCATAAAAGAAACGGAATTTGAAAAATATAAAATTCTTAGTATTACGTCTGACTTACTAATCTCGAACCATAAATTAATCGATAGCGAAGGGACTTAAGATAATCCCATAATTACAAACCAGGTACGCGAGCACTCTGAAATCTTGCTAATTTTTATGATGGTCAAGATACAACATTTGGACGCCACGTGCGACGCAACAATAAACTGCAACCGTAAAAACCCGTAAACATAAACACCAAATAAATGATTATAAATCACGACGATGACGAAACGAACCTAGATTGTTGACAATTTCCCACTCTAAGACACAAAATAGACACACCCGCGACCAATGGCAAAATATATCTTTCCTCCACCCAAAAATGCAACTGACCAATTCTAAAATACCCAATTTTACATAAAATATGACGCTACGAGAATCAAACAGAACGCTACGAAACCTCTCAAAAGACACAACTCCACAAACGCGCAACTTTTACAAACGTTGCGAAATCGAACTTTGTACGCAAGTCCTCAAAATCTGTGTAGTTACAATAAAGTGTTCGTATACACTGACAACTCGCCGTTTGTCATTCTCCATTCGAAACAAGAACTCTTCTGTGTGTTACGACAACGTAACACTTAGAAAACATCATTTTATGAAACAATAAGATAGAAATTCGACAAACTTGAGTTTTAACACTTTTGGGTTTCCCGGTGTGGACGGCCCGTCGTGAAAATCGATTTTATTTCCGTCGTGGTCCCGATGTGGCGTTTTCGACGCATACTCGTGCAGGGTGAACAATACTTAGCCTTGCGCACTGATTCGCGCGCGCCATTACGCAGACATGGTTCCGGTTTAACGTGTGGCACACGCGTGACACGTCTGGTTACCTTTCACCCCTGACGTTTGACCGGGACCCCGACGATAATAGGAACAAGGAACGAATTGAGAATTAATTCTACAGCGGTGGGCATAGCCGAATTCGGGTTAATAGGGGAAACTGGGACAAGCCGATAGATTTTCGAGTTTTCGATTTTTGTAACAGTTCTTCGAATGAATTGCTTGATGAAAATTGTATTGAAATATACTTTGGCATTCTCTTTTTGTGTATTATAAGTAGAGATAAATGGAAAAAATGGTAAATATTGCTTTGTATTATTGTGTTTGTAACTGTTTGTTTAAAACTGGAATTATGGAGTAATTGATATTAGATACAATGAGATATACTTGTTATATATTAATATTATTCTTTAAGTAGGAGAAATCATTGAAATGATAGATATTAGTTTGGAATAAAAATATTGTAAATTTATAAGACTTAATATCTTTCGTCTTCGAAATTAAAATTTTTGTTCTATAATTTATTATATTATATTTTTATATAAACGGCCTTGAAATTTGAATATTTACAAGGTGAAAGGGCTAAGAAAAATAATTTTAACAGACTGATAGTTTTAGTACTAAGAATCGGTTCCGTCAACTAAGTAAACCTTATAATTAGTAATGAATATCGCGATCAATCAATATGAAAAATTTAGAGCTGAAAAAATAATGACGAACGATACATGGATACTTTTTAACGAAAAATTTTTCTTTTTTCCAGCTGTGAGAACTTACCAAGGCGAAGTCCTGGAGCTGAATGGCGTTCTTAGACAGGACATGGGCACGTATCTTTGCATAGCCAGCAACAATGTCCCTCCGACGGTCAGCAAACGTTATTCCGTGGTCGTCCACTGTACGTATCACTTGTCACGTAGCTACCATACACAGCCGGTCACTATAGCTGTTAATTGGCAGCGACCATTCTTGCGTTTCGCGCGTCCTCGCTAAATATACAGAGACCTGGTTAATTCACTGCGCTTAGCAGTGCCGTGAAATAGTCGTTTGAACAGGTTATTCGATTAAGCAAAGTTTGTCAACAAATACTCACGGTTTTATAACATTTTTCATAAATTATCGAATTGTACACCATGCTCACATTCTACTACTGTGGATACTATATCGCTAAAGCTTCAATTCTTTTATATAAAATTATTTATCTATTTAAAACCCTGTGTTTGTTCAAATCTACACAAATATCGAAACGTTATATTCGTAACTATATTTTGGATAAATGAATTCCCTAAGCATGGAATAAACTGGGAAAAGAGTAGCTTATTGAACTATGTGTCAAAGGACAATTAATTGCATTGAAACTACTGAACAAATGCCTCGAAAAATAAAAGGCTGAAATTTGAATAATACGTAAAAAATATAATAGAAAATTATTTCAATGAATTAACATCGAAACGAAAAAGATAAGTCAATTATTTATCGGTTTTTTCTAAAGAATCTAGTAACTTTGGTTAATTGTGAATCGATATATCGACGCAATCGATGTAATTGAATACCAAAACTTCACGATTCATTTGCGGCCCAATAAATCTACGAAGTTGACGTTGCAATAAGGGTTTAGGATATTTTCAACAGTAAACGTGTTAAAACTACGTCAATGCTTTGTGAATTGAACGAAAGAAAAACGTTAATCGTGTCCGCATATCTCTTCCTATTCATACTAATTACGGAAACGTTTGTGTTCCCATGTATACGGCCGCTTTAATTGCAAACCGACAATATCCGTAAAGTAGCCGTAAAGCAGGCCATTAAACGCTGAAGTTTATTTACCACGACGGACAGGAATGCTCAGAACGACGAAATTAAGTACATTTTTCATGGGGCTCACTTCGAAACAACGGATAATTGTTAATCAATCGTGACTGCGCCGAATTCGCTTGCATTCCAGCTGAATGATTCTCTGTAGAACGAACAAATGGCACAAAAATTCCATTAACGGAATTAGTGCCAGGAAAGGAACACGTAAATTTAATTTAATTCAATTAATTTACTGTTAATAGTATAATTATCAGTTTATATAATAAATGAGACTGTTGAGTGAATCAATATTCTTGAATGACATTTTTGTAATACACTTCATATATTCTTTGTCTGATTTATATCAGTTCTGAATTTCTTCAGAAGAATACAATTTTAAACGCAAAGAAATTATTAGAAAATAACGTCTTTAAATTATAGGTATTTAGCTACTTAAATAATTTAATTGATACAAGAACAACGTTTAACGTGATTAATGTGTAATCCTTATAAAAATTGTAAGAATAGGTTTTTTTGGATTCTTCATATATTAATTATAGTATTGAAGTGAAACTATTTATTTTTCAAATCATTTCAGATATTTATCGCTTTTAATATATCAATCATTATGAAATGAGAAAATTGAAACTTGTCATTTTGACAGGTCGGATTTTTAATGTTAAAGTCAGTCGTCCAATTAACCCTTTACAGTCGAAACTTTTTCCACTGAATATACTCATAATTTACACTAGGTTTTACGGAACGCGTCAATTTAACGCATATCGAATTTTATAAATACTCTTTAGTAAATGTTTACATCGATTTTGATAGATGCATTTGTAAAAATAAGTAACTACTCTAATTGTCTATTTTTAAACCTCTAATTTCCAAATTCCAAATAAACGATGGTCAACTTTCCCAAGGACAATGGAATAAATTGTACAATAAATGTCCGTAAACCTAGTGTTCATTGAAATTGATCGCAATTCGATTTTTCGCAACTTATTGGAATGTCGAACAAACACTGTTTGACAAGTTCCGTGTTCACTTGATGACACGACACGTGATTCTGTTTTTTTTTTGTTACGGAATTAAAAGTACCACTTCAAAGTAATCGTTTCGAATCGAGCGAAGAGATCAAATAAAATTCACCGTGTACATTTTGAAGAGTACGCAACGAGTCGAGTAGGTATCAGATTATAAAAAAACCTGGGAAAAAATGCGTCGCGGCTAATGGAGACCACTTCAATAGCGACACGGAAAATATTGGCGAATCAACTTTTCGATTTTTTTTATATTTCTTTCCTTTCGGTCTATTTTGTTTCACGATGAAAAATGACAGTGAAATATTTGTTAAATATCAGAAATTTAAAGATTATTGACAAATTGTGATAATATCTGTAATGAAAAAGATAAGAATTTAAAGAATAATTGAAAAGAAACTCGAATTTATAAATTATTTTCCAAATGTGAACTTATAAATTACTTTTACAAACTACCATTTATATTATATTTTTACAAACATAAAATCTCTCGCTTGCAGAGCGTTGATACAATATTTGCCGTGCCCGATACAAAATTCCAACAGAAGTCTGTTACGAATTCGAATACGCGCGAAGGCGTCGGACGGTTCAAGTGCTTACGGTTTCACGGTAAGCCAGCTGCGTGAAACATGCAGGTGCGCGATGAGGGAGCGCTGTACAGTTCCTTACTTTGAGAAAGTCGGTCCGCAATCCTCTCAGTCACATCCATTCGAAGTCTGGCATCCTCGTAAAGTTACGATACGTCGATTGGTATTAAGGAGAGAAGGAAGACACTTGAGATACAGCGAGCCCTAATTAGAATTTCGATGGATTCCCGGTTACGAACGCGTAAATTTCGATTGACATAAAGAAAAAACATTCTTGGAAACTGGATTCTTCGGTGAACCAGTTCTTATTACTCTGAGAAATTTCGTTTAACTCTTGCCTGACCAATCTGGGTCATTTTAGTACGGCGGTAACTATTGTCCTATTTATAGATCATCTTATTTCAGTTACAATTGACTCATATAAATATATGCACGTATAACTGCAACACATGCAATTAACATTATGCATAAAATTCAAGATAAAGCTCTTGCTTAAAACCTGGGTACAATAAAAGTTCCATTATCTAAAGTTCTGTCATCTAAAAAGACCAGCCACCATGCAGTAGTCAAACTATAAATAAAACAAAGGAAAATTCGGAGAATAATTTTCCTCAAACTATGATTTCTTAATAGTTCAAATTATACTATTATAAAAGGAAACAAATTCGTCAGAAAATCGATCGCTTCATTGAATTTCATTGAAATCCATTAGAATATTTATAAATAGATTCGTGATTAAACAAGTGGAATCCATCGATATAAGTTATACATTGAACAATCTTCTAAGATTTCATAGAAACCGATTTCTTCGGTAACCCATACGTTTGAAAATAGAAACATTCCAGTTTCTTGCTAGGATAAATCGAAAACAATCCCCGTCAGTTTATTAAGTTAGACGTTGGCTTCGCAGCAAACACAATATTTGCGTGGAACGACTTAATGTGCCCGTGCTAGAACACATGATGTCGCAGCTCGCGACTAGAAAGCGAGAGCGACAGAGAGTGCGTAATTAAAGCAACGTAAACACGGGGGTGTTCGATGCTATACTATGATTCCAGGATTAGGGAGCGAACTATACGCTGTATGTGTGTGTTACAATTACTTTACCGTGCCATTTGATTCTCGAACACCGGATACACCGTACCGCCATTATCGAGCGGTCCTATTTCAGCGCGTTTCAATTGTTTTCGAACGTTTTCTAAATTAATTGGCATTACTGCAGCTTCAAGTAAGTAATAGGTCACGTATTGATATGAAGTGTTCAATTTTTCTTACTCATAAATGTTTGTACTCCATTGTTGTTATTCCTTTATTTTTCATATAACCTCTGAACCAATTAACTATAGAGTTTACTTTCAAAAATTGAAATGAGTTTCTCTCATTGTGTGTGACAATAAAGTCAATCAGTGAAGTATATACTCGTCAAACGCAGAGCAAATATACCTATAATATATTCTAACGGGTATCATTCAAAATCTAGAGTGTCATACAATTTTGATAAATATTTTTGCACGTACGTACGTGAGGTTGACGAAAATCTGTTGATATTTCCTTTTTAAATACGTCTGTCGTATTGTGAATCACTTTCAGTTTATATTGATGTTAAACTGGAATTTAATTTAATGACATGATATTTGTTTTTAAACTTCTTTTAAAAGTAGGAAAAAATTGTTTAAATTCTATTAAGCGTTTAGCAAGTTATTATTATTCTATTTATGAAAATAAACGTTAAATCAGAAAGTTGTATATAAAAGGAAGAAAGATTCAAAATGTACGATAGCATTTCAATTTGTATTTATAATTCTTATATTGAAAGAAAATTAATGTTAAAAATGTAACTTCTGGAATCGAATACTTTTTATATTTATTATAAATATATTATACTTAATGATTATATGAACACATTGTAAATCTAAATGGAACGAAGGGAAAATCTAAGGTTTCGAGGAAAATAGATGCAAAGGTAGTTTAAGGCAGTTCAAAAAAATTCGAAGTAATTAAAGTAAAGAGCTTTAAATGCTTGTTTATATTCGAAAAATATTCTTCGTGATGGAAACGCTGTGCAATGCATTTATTAACCTCAAGGATGCTACGAAGCGTGCAACTATTAATTATGTTTTCATCACGTCCAATATTAACCGTTAGATAAATTACTATGAAATTACCTTTTCAAGTTGGCGATTTATCCACGTCGTTGCCGACAGGTAAATATTTGATCAGCCAGGCAGCACAGTAATTCGCTTACTCAGAAAATCTAGTGTTTTAACCGTGATACAACGCTTCTTATTTCATCGGGGTACCTGATTTATGTGGATAGCTTTACTTTAAAGGGCTATTGCGCGCTATAAGGAAATAAATTTCTATTTAATCTCCGTTTCTGTTTATACGAATAGAACTATCGTCTACAGTACACTATACCTACAATAAAGCACGATCATATTGATAAGGGAAATGAAAAATGTTGTGTTAACATTTTGTCGACCTCATTATTCATTGTGAAACCTGTCGCTTGGATGCGATATTCTTTCTAAAACGCAATATTCTCTTAATTTTATTATTAAAAAAAAGTTACCTATTCTTCTAATTTCAGGAATTTCTTAGGAATTTGTTAGGAAGCATTATGATCTGTTCTAATATTTTTTATTAGTACAAAACGTTATGGACTATTGTATTAATTTTATTATTAAAAAATGTGAGGTCCTATTCTTTTAATTTTAATATTAAGAACTACTGTGATCTATTTTTCTAAATTTGTTGAAATATATTATAATCTATTCTGTTAATTTTATTATTAAAAAATAAAAATATTATTATCTATTCTTCAAGACTTATTATTCAAAATCTATGACTTATTTTCTCAGTTTCATTCTTAACAAAATACTGAATTTTAGTTTCATTATGAAAAAATATTGTGGCCAAATACATCACGTCAGAATTAAATATTTTTAATTCGACGTAGGAAGCTCTAAAATAGCGATGTTGCTCTACAACTGTTGGCCAACCGAAAACGCGTATACGTGATCGCGGCCATCAAACTATTAAAACGAATTTATTCGTGTTTCAGTCCGACCAGTCATAAAAGTGGTGAACGAGTTACTGCTCGCGCCAATTGCCAGCAATGTCCTTTTACAATGTCACGTGGAAGCTTCGCCGCACGCCATGAATACTTGGTACAGACGCGCAGGTAATGAACAATTTCAATTCAACACACTTCTTCGTTCATTCGTCGTCGTTCGATCCTTACTCTATCGCTTCTACGATTTCGAAGCAAAGAAGCGAATACTGTTCCAGAATTAGACAACAAATAATTTTCGTTGGAGAAACGCCACGACGAAAGATTAAATCTTTGAGGACAAATGTCTTGATTTAAAGTGTGGTGTCTAAAATTACAAATTACAAGCAAGGAGTTTAATTATTCCAATAACAAAAGATCAATCTACAATTTACTTCTCTTTTAGTATTTAATCTGTTAACCATGCAATGTAATTTCAAAAATCGTGGGGCGTGTAATTAAAATTAACAATAACGAGTATACGAAAGCAAAATGAAGAAGGGTCAAGTAATTTAATAATAACGATTTACTAACTGAAATTATTATGCAAAAGGTTCTTGTATTAAGAAATCTTCTATTTAACCCCTTGCACTTGACAGATTTTATATGAACAGTATTTACCATTTTACGGTAAAATATGAATGGCACTTTGTATAAATAATATAGAGAAATGGTATATGAATTAAGAGACAAAAATATTATATTTCAGTGTTTCGTGAATTATTATATAATATTATACAAAATTAAATCATACATTATATTCTTCATTTCTTATCTCTTTTTTTTAAGGATCAGTTCAAAATTCTTGTTCACGTTTTATTAGTAACATTTCAGTGTTTTCAACCCTTTACTCTTAAAGAGGAAACGATCCGATTCGTGTCGGTCCACCTTACTAAAGTTTAAAATAATATCTGTTTTCAAACTATTATAACGTATGTAAAGATCACATCTCTCTTCGTTTTTACTTACAATTAGTTTTAGTTTAGCCATCGAACAGTTGAGCTCCTAAACTAAATCTAAAAACTAAAAACATCAAAAATTTTGCATCAACCCAATTTGTTGACTCATTAGTTAAACGGAATTTTAGTAAAAATTAAAATAAAACAATAATAACAAAGGATTTTCGTATAAAATTATTAACCGCCATTCAATGCAGCATCAGTAACGACAGTATTCCAAATTGAATAATGGTAAATAGTGCACTACTCTTCTACTAGAAATAGACTCAAAACTAAGGTGTACATATGATTGCCAGTCACAGTTTCAATATTTTGTCAAATATTGAAGTAATAAAACAATGTATACATTATAACGTGCGCTGATTCTGGAGGGGTTAACTCTTTGTAATCGGTGTCGCCACTGTGGCGACATTTATAATTTGTCCTCGAAGTCGGCGTCACCAGCCTGGCGACATGATCTTTTTTGGGAGTAGTATTATTTTACGATCGAGATTGTAAGTGTTTATTATTCGTTACCATCCCTTTCTGATGTACACTGTAAGCAGTATTCAACAAAATATATTAATTTTAAAAAATAATCTGTATTTTTTAATATCCATGTATTTATTATAAATCACTTATAGAAAAATAACTTTAAAAATATAAATTTGCTTCTACTACTTAGTACTGCAACCAGAGAAATATATCATAGTTAATACTACCACCAGAAAAATTTTAGGGGTTAAAGTGCACGGTAAAAATATAAATATAAATAAAGTATGTAATTAGAAATATAAATTTATTTCGAGTATTTGTTACTGCCGCCAGAAAAGTGTGCCGATCGCGAAGGGTTGAAATGCACGGCAACTCGCAAGAAAAAGTCAGTTTTCCGAAAAGATATTCGAAACGCTGGCCGCTTGAGTCGAGATCAATTCGACAAGTATTACTTCCGGTCAGTTTTGCAAAAGCTAACCCCGGTCGCGACGCGTCGCGATACAAACGGCGCAGATGAAAACTCCGAGGACTGTTCCCTGGCAAAATTAAAAAGCCCGCAATATTCTCGTTTCACGTGCAGACGAAAAGCTGCTGCCCAGTGACAAATACGTGATGTCAGACCACGCGCTGAACGATTACACCCGGCAGATGAGTCTCACTGTCAATTCGCTGGAAAAAAAGGACTTGGGAGAGTATGTTTGCTCGTCAGAGAATGCTCTCGGGAAGGACCAGTTCGTAATACGGGTACAAGGTAAATATAATATTGACCGGCACGTCAAAAAGATTGTTGAAACGATGCAATAATTTTTCGTTATTTGTTGTTGTTAATTCAATGTCTAAAAACGTATGGTTACGTAAACATTCATGAGTATGAGAAGTGAGTCATTATGGAAGACAAATCATTTATTATAATAGTCTAAGTAAATGGAGATTTGAGAAGAAATATTTCAAATTTATTTATAAACACAAAGTTTTCTTTCATTCATAACTTAAAACTTATTCATATATATTTCGAGGTGTAATCTAAGAATTGGAGTTATTGAGTTCCAATTTAACACTAGGTGTATGGAAATTTATACTGCACTTTATTCTATTGTTCCTGCAACGATAGGAGTTTATTAATGTAGATCTTGGAAATTCGGGCTTCCAAAACGAATTAAGGAAAATTGGCATGAATTTCCGCGAAATAATCTTTGTGAAAATTAATATCCGTCAAATTAAAGGGTTCCGTAAATCTAGCGTTAACGAAGATTTTGGACAATCTAGATTATAGAAAATAACGACTTTGTTCATTGCTGTCCTGTATATCGAAACTGTGTTTCTAAAGTATGTACCATGTTATAAGAGAGTTAATTGCTATATATTTTCCAATATTTCCATGCAGAACTGAACCTGTCCTTTTTAGTTCTCTCATTACTTTATTTCATTCTACTCTATCTATTATTATACAAAGTTATACATAACCACTTGCTTATTTTGTACGCCGCTTCTGTCTTTATTATGTATTATTAAATTCCGACCATGTTTTGTAATATCGGCGAAACAATTACCGAAAATAAAGCACGATTATCTCGTGTTTCCATGCAGAACTCAACCTGTCCATTTGTATCTCTTTTATTATTTTATTTCATTCTATCTATAATTATCCAAAATTACACATATCTACTTCCTCATTTCGTATCTTATTTCCATCTTCATTATCCATCATTAAATCCTTTAACAATCATCTTCATAAAGACATAAAACCATACCAACATATGAACCGTTTCTTTTAAAAGCAGTGTAAGTCCATTTTCTCATACATTGAGACATTTGACAGTTGGCGTTCGAATGAACTTAAAAATATCGGCGAACGTTAACCAATTCGAGTTTTTTAAAACCATGAACTTGTTAAATTTTATCATGCAATAATAACTAATAACATAATTAAAGAAAAGAAACAATTGTTTTGCTATAATTGGACTCATTCCACATTCAAGGAAAACATTTCTGCGATAACATTTCACAGTTAAATTTCTTTTGATTAATTTATGAGCATATCGTTCATCATTGATTGCGTAACTAGAAGTATTAAAAAACTACAATTAACTTATTTTTCCCGAGAATGGACTTACACCATTTTTAAAAAATGGCTCATATCTTGGACATTCGTAAAAAATAAAGCGCCTTTATATTTCCTCTTCTTTCCATGCAGAACTGAACCTGTCCAAGGAAACGACTCCTAGCACTCTCTCGAGGAACATCGACCTGAGACCACGAAAGAAGCCAGTACAGAAAGGCAAGAAGAAGAACAGTAACGGCAGGCGAACGCACGGAAACAGATTCGATGATTTCGACGGCGCCGGGAACGACGAGGATGTCAGTTCCACGCAGATCATGGGGGGCAGCACTATCTACGAGGGCCACAGAACGGAAAGGCCGCTTGTTTCGCCGTCGTCCTCGCCACCGTGGGTCACCATAAGCGCCGCCGATCCGAAACATTGTTCTTCGACATCCTCACTAGCGATCCTCTTCTCGTTCCTCTACTCGACGATGGTTTTCCTTTTGTAAGGAAATTACAATTGACGAAAAGGACTGCGACTGGTGAAGAACAAAGATGGCGGATACTAAGGGATGGAATAAGGGGATGTTTGTTTATACGTGTCTGAAGCACGAGAATGATTTCGTGTTTGATAAGGGATGCTGGTTTCGCATTTTGTAATTGGTACGTCATGGTTGTTAGTTTCGATTGGAGGATGCCATATTCTTTTGTTGTTGCAATTTGAAGAAACGAAGATATCTAATGGTTCGTATGAAGGGATGAAATATATAGAAATGTGTAACCTTGATATTTATTGATGTTTAATTCTGATTATAATAATTGCGATTAGTTCATTCGTACATTTATATAGTTTTTTATTGCTTATTTTATATATTTTATTATAAAAGTATATGATATATATTTTTGTTACATTGCTGTATTTTATTTTATATATTATGAGCACGTTCAAGAAAGTGGATTACTTTTATTATTTCTATATTGTATAAATTCTATAGTAATATGGAGTTATAGTAACGATATAGTAAATATTAATATTGAAATAAAAAGTCGTGCAATTTTATTATACTTTTGCTTTTATTATTAATATGAAAAGCTTTCAACGAATAATTCAGTTGTTTCTATGTTCGAAAAGATATCGAAAGCCATCAATCGTTAAATAGAAAAACAATTCACAATTGAAATGAACTTGATAATTTTAACTTCCAGATGTACTAATTTTGAATTAAAAAAAACAAAAGATTATTGTATCTCCCAATGTAAGATAAACTAATTAAGAAGACAAATTCCACAATTATAAAAATTCGAATCAAGCACATTATATCATATCAAGATCATCTACATTCCTTTTGTCAGATCACTTTTATTTTACGAATATCTGTTAAGAGTTAACATTACCGTACCAATGCGAATGTGTGAGAAATCATCGAATCAATGAAATTCAAACAATTCTTGTGCGTGTGCTTGACCGATTAAGGTCAACTAAGACAGGAACTGTTCAGTGGGAGATGATAATCGCTTTAGGGAAGTCGGGTAACGAAGAAATCAGATCGGAAGGGCGCAAAGGCAAACGACGAAGAAAATCTGACGCCGAGAAGAAATACAGGTCTTCCTTTTATTCGACTTAACAAGGACGTACTTACTACTTTTAGATTGAGCGAGGTATAGTTAGTGTGGTGCGACCAAATAAGAGAGACTTCCTCCGATAACAAAAAAATGTTGTAAATACGATACATACGTACAATTCATAAGTACGTGAAGTTAGCGGGCATCGACTGATACGCGAGCTGATCTTTTTAGCGGCCGCGTGGAAATCAACGAACGATCGTACGGACTGTGGATTTATGAGGTACATGAAAAAAAAAAGAATGAAATGAAATGGTCTTCATATCTATAAGTCTTCATATCGCGACAGTGTTGGAAAGGATCAGTTTAATCCGATCATCATGATTGTTTTCGTCGATCGCGAATTGAATGAACTCTTCTACATTTTATTATTTTACTTTTAAATTGTAATTATTTGAATATTATTAGTGAATTATAATTACTTAAATATAGGTTGTAATTATTTATATATAATTGTATAATTTACGATTAATCAATTAATATGGCGTTACGTTTCTTTAAGGATTATTTTATGCAATGCAAATTTGGGTATTGCAGACATTAGCGACTGAATTGATAGCGATGGTAATAAGTATAAGAGAAATATTATTTTAATTGTTGTATTTATTATTTAATAATTGATTTATGTTATGTCGTGGCCTAGTTTTTGCATAATAAACGAAAACAAAGGTAGAAAATATATTGTTCTTCTTCTTCTTATTATTATTATTATCATTATTTTTATTTTGTTTAAACAGAAGAATGAAGCTTTACAGAAATATATTTACCTATTTCTGAATGAAATAAAATAAATAAAAGTCATTTCACAACTTTTCAGTTACTTTGTTAATAGTAAAATAAAAAGAGTTTTGTAAATGTTTGTCGCTAAGAAAGATACTAATAAAAGGGCCAATCACACGATAAGAGAGCTCATATAAAGATCTTTCTCCAAATAATATGCAAAGTGTAAAGAAACTTTTTTTCCTTTTCGAGAGTTCATTTGATGAAATGATATTTCTTCTACAACAGTGCAGCATAAGCCTATTAATTAGGTAGTAATATATATTTACGTAAAATTTTGTATGTGTAACAAGTAAGGGGTTGATTATGGAAGACCAATAATAATTTATTATCATTTGCAGGGCTGATAACTATCAATAAGTATGTATTTTCTTCACGAAATAGTTTAAGAATGTCTCTCTACCACAAGTAAATAAAACACATTACCATAAAGAAGAAGTCTTCCGAGAATTTAAACTTATAAATAAAGTTATCCACATTTATACGAGTATCATGATACGTACATATAATTAATCGTGTTTTTATTTTATATTTTCTGACACCGTATACAGAGTTAAATAATAATGGTTAACGCTTAATTTTCGAAGTTGTAACAATTTTAGTGGTTTTCTTTTGTAAATTACTTTTTTTGTAGATGCTTAGAAAATTTGAAAATCTAATCGACTCCCTCAATTGTATATTTCTAGTTGTATATCATATGGTGTTTCGTATAACAAATTCAAAGGACTATAATTTAAGACCGCTATAAATTGACCAAAATCAAAACACAATACAATAAGGTGTTACATTAAAAACACTAAAGCAATATGAAGCAACAAAATGCGTTATGCATTTTGATACAGCGTCGATATGTTGTGGGACAAAATTTTGAACTCGTGGTGTATTATATAATAAAATATAATAATTATATAATTAGTATATGATTAAATTATTTTTATATAATAATAATTATTATATAATCAAATAATTGAATGGTATAATTTAAAATTTAATAATGTTTTTATACTTGCACCACTGATTGGAATAATTTCTTTTTGACTGTTATAATTGTTACACTTATTGTTAAAAATAATTATTCAGACTTAGTAGTCTGCAATTATTAAATGATACAAATTATGCACAACATGTCTAACGCTATATGTATATGAAGACCGATAAATATTGGAGTTGCCGAAGTCAAACCGACTTCGGTTATTTAAGTAAAAAACTATGTTGCATTACGATAAAGAACATAACGCATAATACGTGCCGTATATTTGAGAATGTACGATTATTATTTATTAAGAACATTTCTAAATGTAAGTGACTTTGGAAGCTTCGCAACGCAACAATAGTTTTCTGAGGTTTTTGTTCACTGACACAGAGAAGTGTAAATGTAACTTTAAAAGACAGTGACTGTCAATTTTTGTTCTCAATTATTTGTTTATAACAAAAGAATGAAAAGACATTTCACAGAGACATTGTACCAATAATAAATCGATACAATATCAAATTAGAAGAATTTAAATCAAGAAACAGTGTTATGGCTGAAAATGTTGTTAACTTCGAAACCTAAACAAAAATTGGGTAATTGTTAAAATTGAATACTAACGTAATTGCACTACTAGCATAATTGAAAATCATGTAAAAAAATCCAAATAAATTATTATAGAATAACGCATTACTCGTCGTTGTTAAATAAATGGAATTAACATATTTTAAGATAGACGACTGAAGAGAAAAACGTTTATTCGGAACAGTATTGTTTCTAGAAATACATACTTTTCCAATGGAAATATTTTGCGTACAATTTACCTTAGTTTATCAACAAGACTATGCATTAAGAAAATGTTAAGTCTCTTTTATCTTTATTTATATTAAGTTTCTTTTTCTTCGAGTGTAATTAAATTTTGCAAATTATCATTGAGATACGTATAAAACTTCTGCTATAAACGATTCGATTGATAATTGTAGTAATAATAATTGTCCAAAATATTGTTATTACACCTTGTACAGTAAGATTCGGAGGAATTGATACGGAAGCGTCGCTGTAAAAGACTAACTAACTCTGCTTACATAATTCTAAGTATACGTTGGGTTGCTGTTCTCGTAAAATTATCAAAGCAGCTAGATGTTTATAAAAATTAAGAACCGGTATTCTGATTTATTATCACCCTGCAACTATCCATAAAAAATTATTAAACTAAATTTTGCAAAAATATGACTAAATAAAGCTCTTTTTAAAAACACCACAATTATAGTTACGCTTTTACTTCTATTTTTAATATTTATAATAATTTATATTTAATAAGTCAGCATTCTTGTAAACTAATTTTCATCGACAAAAGTTGAATCGATATTCTATAACAACATAAAGAAGTATAAATAAAATAGGTTCAAATAAATCGTTGTATCGTTTAATTTTTATGATGCATACATACAGTAAAAACTGTTTTAGTGAATAGTTGCATAGTGTATAATAAACGAAACATTTTTCGTTAGAATTATTTATGGCTACACTTTGCTTTCTGAAACATGCTGTGTTGGCTAAAAGATAACCGTTTCCACCAGCTCAGTAGCATATGTAATAACATGTTCTTATATTTGACTTCTACGATGTTCAATATTATGATTTAATCAAAAAATCGCATCTCTATTATCAATGAAAAAAAAGGAGAATAAAGATATTTAATACTAGAACGATCGTTTACAATGAAACCGTTTCGATAAAATCGAAGAAAATATATTAATACGTTCTGAACGTGACACGAAGAATCGAGTGCCATTGTTTTATTGCCAACACTTTAAACGAAAAAAATGATTCAGCAGGTTCGATTGTACTTACCGAAACCTGCATTCGAATTTTAAGAAAAATGTAACATTGAAATTCAAAGAATTCCTACGAGCATAAAGCACATTACACAATTGTTGCGAATAAAAATCCAACCGACAGGAGCTAAGCTCGTGTAATTAAAAGTTAGCGATTTAAGCATACCGCCTACCGATTATGAATTGACCAAATTTATTTTGATCGCTTGTTAAATAGAACAACTACAATATCGTAGCATGTATGCAGAATGGAAGGCACGACAATAAGTATGTTATAGTAAAGTCCTGTTTCATTGAAATATCGCCTTAAGAACCTTCTGGGCAAGTACTATACAATATTCTTCCACGTATCATTAAGGTTCAGCGCATATTAGTAATTAGATTATGGATTTTATGCATTTATAGCATACATGATTGTGCGGGACTCGATACAGTAAAACGTTCAATGAAAGCAATCCTTTCTGTCAAGTTTCATAGGAGCCTCAATAGAATCAAAGAAGCTTCTGTTCGATTTCTTCCGATTGATCCACGAAAATCTATATTTGCATAAATATCGCTAATTCATTTCGAAAACAACTGATTAGCCCAACATTCAATTCTCGTAAATAAATTTAAGTCGCTCCTTATCTTTTGTACCGAACCATCACGATATGTATACGATATATTTATTTCCCTACAATTAAATAATCAACAAAATACTATATGTCTTATGTACATTAACCCATTAATACTTAAAAACTGAAAGGAAACAGCTTCTGGTGGGATTCAAATGAATTCGAAACACATGTAAATACATTTAATTGTATCATACGTCGGTATTTAATAGCAATATCAACGATAATGTTCGCTGTAATATTTTTCGAGACATTGGGTGTGTAATTATCGCTCTGAGATGCATGGATTGGTGCAATAGTCGAAAGAGAAATATAAATTAAGAGAAAAGACGCGAAATTTATAAAATAATATTATCGATGAACAGTTGATGTATATATACATATTATATATGATTGTGTATCGGAGCATCAGTGAGTATTAATGAGTTGATGAACATGAAAACGGGAGACCCGGTAGATTTTTAAGGGCAAAGCGGGGATCGCTTTGCGCGTTAACGTTGGTCGAATTATATAGATATATATGTATATATATGTTGCTCATTGGCCAAATAGATTAACTCCACTTTTTGAATTTTTTAAGATTTTATCACTAAAACGCTTCATTGGCTCTCGACTTTTCATATTAAAAATAAATTTTCTTATTATTAGGTGTGATACCACGACATAACAAAAATTCGATTGTTTATGCAGAACTTACAACAATAATAAAAATTACTTCGAAAATATACTATTTTGTATATTTTACATATTTTTAGATGAAAGCTAAATCTGTAGTAATAAAGTAACATACATGCTATTATGATTATTTAATTTTCTATTTAAAAAGAAATTTTGAAAACCGATGTATAGCTGTTACATCAATTTTCTCTACTCTTTGTTCTGTGGAATTAACCGATTTGCCTAATGAATGGCTCATATATATGTATATAAAGGAGAAAGAAAAGAAAGAAACACGCGGCAAAACTATTAAAAGTAAGTGAAGCTACTAAATATATCCTCTTATCGTAAGATTTACCACATAAACATAGCGAATTTATTGGCTCTAAGGGATTCGAAATACATATACACGGCAACGATACATATGAATCATATAGGACCATGTTTTATGTATGTACATATATCTATAAAGAAACAGAGAAAACGGATACGGACATTCAAGAAATATGCGGCATTGTAAATAATGTAAGTGTTGGATGGAATTCAGGCGGAATGAAGAAAGAGCAAACTATTAGAGGCAGGCGCTCGAGATACACACTGTATAATGTACTTGTAATTGTAATGTTGAACGGGACTACGTTTTATACGACACGGTGTAACTGTAGTCTCAGGGTGTAACATAATGAAGCTGAAAAAAGACAAGAATTTAATCACTCGTTAGGCACTTATCTACACCGTTAAGGTATTTACCGAATAAGTGAATGTGAAAACTTGCTCGTTCTTTAGATTTCTCACAACGAAGTTTCAGCGTTCGTCGCGTTTTGCGTTTTGTGCTGGGAAGGATCGTAGGTTTTATTCCTCCCTCTTGCAAAAGGATTCGCCATACTCGCATTTTTAACGCATTGACTGGCACATTGATCATTCGTAAACAATGGAAAACATGAATACATTGGAATATGCAAAATTTGATATATACATTAAATAGTTACGGTATTGAATTTATTATGACAATTATCTGGTTAACGCATTATGCGATGAATTCAACGGTAAGCATGCACTGTTGATGTAATGGTCAATATGTTAATGATGCATCGTAAAACGAGACTTTCCATGTTCGATGTTCAAGATTTTTCATGATTTTTAATGATAAATTAATTTAATTTAATTTATCTTAAATTAATTTAAGAAATTGTACGAATCGATGGGAAACATATTTTAACGTAAACGTTTTTAATCTGATACAGGCTTCCTTCTCCTATGAAGACTGCTTAATTGTTTAGATGAACGTTTCGAATTTGTTTCAATGGATACTTTCGTTTTCTTTGTCCGAAGATTTTATTTTTTGTAACTAAGTACAACTTTCGAAGAGTTTATGTTTTATTACGATCTAGAAGAGGCTATGGTACAGGATGTTACTATTTTACGTAAAGAATCTTGCAAATTTTACGAATTAATACAAAAATTAGGATTAAAGTGATCTAAAATTTGAACAAAGTATTGTACAAGTTTTAATTGATTATAAAATATGCAGACTTCAAATATTATGGATAAATGCATATCAATAATGTAGACTACTAATTGGTTTCTATTATTATTGCAATAAACTCTTCAATGAATTATACAAATTTCTGCTTAGATCTTTTTTTTACTAAACTCAACTTGTATCAATCATGTACTGTAATAACAATGAAATTGTTATTCATTATAAAATTGAAGCGGTGTTTATAATTCTGCGACATTATCATTTGTTGTATATCCATGTACAATGTCGGATGTAGACGCGAAACGAACTCTAACAATGTTACGTAACGAACGAGTCATCGCAGTTGCACAACTGAAATCGTTTGCATAGGTATTCGTGTACATTCGATCGCTTTGTATTCCCAGATCTCGTTTCTTTCGTGCCATTTGGTTAGACTTTAATAAAGATTAAAGTGTAATCAACATTTTTCGAGAAATGAAATTACACACAGCAATAATAGTAATGTAATTATGTCTCTGTCGTTATTCGATACACGATCCTTTATCTTTTATAAATTCGAATTGTGAATAACTTGCCTTTGACATAATACAACCATAGAGTAACAGTTAATATACAGTTTAAAGATATCGAGACTACCTATAGAATATAATTGCGGTAGAGAACGAGCATGATGTACGATACTATTAACTTCAGACAATAAAATGTTATTATCGATGTTACCTTATGAACCGTATTTACTCAATTCCAATTCAGTCCTTCATCTACCGCTTAATTATTGTTTCATCGATTTTAGGAGAGTTAAAGGAGAACTTGTGCGAATGAAGTATTCAAATCGTTTATTAATATGTACAAACAAGATACTTAATTAACTCGCACATATGTACAAGAAGTGTTTGCCTTCATTCTGCAATTGTCGATTTAATACGTTTAACAGCTTTCATACGCTGTAGACTATTTTGTTTCTCTTTATCAAGCTCTTCCTTCAATTTTTGTACATGACTCGAATAACCCATAACGTTTGCGATAGAGTCTAATTCTAATTTCTCAATTTCTGGTACTATTTTATGAGCATTAGTCAACATGTGCTTAAATATTTCCACTTGTTTAGTTGTCAGAATTGATACTGCCGTTCCCTGTTTGCCTGCGCGTCCTGTTCTTCCTGCTCTATGAATATAACCTTTAATGTGTTTAGGGAGATCGTAAGATATAACTAACTGTACGTCTGGAATATCCACACCCCTTGCTAAAGCATCGGAACTCACGAGTCTGGAAATATAATAATAATGTAGCAATGTGTTGTAGTAACAAATCTGCTACATATAATAATGGCTTCTATAATGTACTTATATAGATATAACTTTTTGGGAATAAAAATGTATACTATAAAAATCACAAGGATAATGTATTATAAAGAGCATTACTGTTATGCAGTAGTATTTATATAAAACTTACATTTGAATATCTCCAATAGAAAATTTTTGGAGTACATCTTCTCGTTGTTTTGGCATCAGTTGTGCCGAAAGTTCCCCAACTTTTAAATCCTTTTCAGAGAAGAAAGATTGAAGCAGACATGTCAGTCTATGTGCAGTTTCTCCAGAATTTGTAAATATTAACGTTTTAGAAACCATATCATTTCTAATTAATATTTGATACACAGCCACTGGTTTGTACTCTGTTGCACACTCTACTGCAAGTTCTGTTAATTCTTCAGGACTTGTGTACCTGCCTAAGAAATCGCCTACTTCTTTATCTAAGTTTACATCCTCATCTTTGCCTGATACCAAAACAGATGTAAACAATATTGGTTGAAAAAGACCAAGACGGCTCAATTTTTCTGGATCCTGAGATAAGGTAGCACTAAACAACAACTTCTGTGCTGGAGTTTTGCTGTTTGAATCACACAACCATATAACTATTAACGATTTAAATTATGATGTTAAAAGGATTAATTTCATTCAATATTTGACTTATTCTACTTCAATAATAACCTGTGATGTAAATTATACAGTGTTAGTCTTGGAGCATGAAGATGTTCAGGAAGATATTCTAACCAATCTGCAGCTCTGTCTGCTTCATCAATAACAAGGAATTGGAGACTATCTAAAGAAAATCCTGATGTCTTTAATATGTGAACAACCAAGCGTCCAGGTGTGGCAACAACTATATCTACCAGGGATATGTATTCTCCTCTAAGAGCTTAGAAATGAAAATAAAATATTTTATACCCTATGTTGAATAGTAATACTATATTAGAACAGTGTTAAGCATACAAATACATACTCTTTTTAAGGATACTAGTTTGTTCTCGCTCAAATGAAGATGCACCAGAAAGTAGACCAACTCTGAGGTTTGTATGAGATGTATATGCAACTGCTACTTTGTAAACCTGTGCAGCTAATTCTTGTGATGGTACAACAACTAAAGAACGTATCTTTGGTACTAATCGAGATTGTAATATTTGCACAATTGGTAAAATATATGCTAAAGTTTTTCCTAAAAAATGAAAAGAAATCACAAATGTGTACTTGTAACAACAATACAATATTAACTTATTTATAAATAATTAATAATATTAGTGAATAGTATATTTTAACTTATATCAATGAATAAAATAAATATGTACGTACCACTGCCAGTGGGAGCAGATACACACGTATCACGTACCCACCATCCTTGTTGCCTATCTTCATTACATTTCAGTAACCAAGAAAGCATACTCGCTTGAACAGGAAATAATTTACAGATGCCATTATTCTTTAGATGTTCAATTAGTTTAGAATCCAGAACTGTATTAAATTCTTCTATACTTGGGCCACTATTTAAATCAATTGATATAACTTCTGGATTGGCCAACCAATCTGGTAATACCCTTTTAACTTCATATTTCTTTTTTTTAGCTTTTGCACCTAAAATTATAAAGTCTTTCTGTTGTTCTGGTATCTGTACTTGCGATTCTTTCGAATCTATAGATTTATTTGACTCTTTGTTTAATTGATCACTT